CAGAGGACTCTAAGAAGTCAATAAAAAATAGGCGAGATAGGTTGGTAGGACACCTTCTTAGGAATGAAGGTCTAGTCAGGGACATATTAGAGGCAGAAACAGGAGTTAGGAGGGGTAGAGGTAGACCTAGATTACATTACTGTTCTGAAATAGTTAAGGATGTGGGCTGTTCTAGTTTTAGGGAAATGCGAAGTTTAGCTCAGGATAGGAAAGAGTGGAGGTACGTGTCCAACCAGTCTTAGGACTGACGACCTTATGATGATGACGATGAATATGAATTTCACAAAAAATTTCAATATGTTGCTTTATACCGAGTGTTAGATAATCTGTCTTCGTTAATGACTAAAATTGGTCGCCTTTTGTAGACGTTTGTCAAAATTAAACCGAGACGACATGAACTAAATGTAACTTTGCTTCTAATTTGCATCTGTATAAACACACGGTGTGGCGTTCGATTGTGACCCACGTCCAAGCTGACACGTCCAATTTTTCTTTAATTCGGAACCATATGCGCGATAGTGCCAAGTTATTCCTTTGAACCTTTCATTTTGATACTCACGCAAGCACACGAAAATTTTCGGCGACTAATATTATTTATTTTGAATGGTAAAAATGCGCTTGTTAGGCGATCGTATCTTTAATAACTTTTGGTTACCTGTATCCGTTTGACGCGCTGTTATTTACTCCTTATTCGCATATTATTTGTTGTCTTGTAAAGCTGGAAATGACAGAAAGCCAACCTACAACTAACTAATCGGTCTAAGGGAAATTATTTTTCATGTTACACGTAACCTGAACATTGATTATTGCGTGCAGGTAGTTTGAATTTCAATCAAAATTGTAACGCGAGGGCAGTGGTTAATAAGTAGCTTTTTCTATTTTCCGATGTGTGCAATAAATTGTACCCTTAGTCGGAGAGCCTGGCACCGAAATATGGACAAATTTTACGGTATCCAGTTCGTATAATAGGCGAAGGGGTTACTTTTTTATAAGCAGTACCCAATTTTATTTTAAGTTACATCAACGAGGTGGTGCTCAAAAATTTAAAGAAATAGATTTGGGTAAATTTAACTGAATTTTCGAATGGATTACAATGGAAAAACAGTTGCTATAAGGCACCCATTGGAATATGAAAACCAGAAAGCAAATCGCCTTCAAGCGTATTTCCGATTATCAATATTGAAATGTTCGTGAGTTTAACAAAATTAACTTCTAAGACTGATACGACAAAAACTATTTATTTACACTACTGTTGATATATCACTATTCACTGCGCTATTTATTTTACTGTCAGTTTATTTCTGGATTCACTTCTGCAACGGTCAATTTATTTTTTCTTCTCTCGGCGATCGTCCCTTCCTTTAAATACTCTTTTGTTCACTTTCGGAACCTTTCTAGAAACATCCGGATAGTTTATTTTTTTCTTTGAACTGTTTAACGGCTTTCCCAAAAAAATAAACACTAATTCTTTTAAGAACTTAAAGAACCTAAACTCTGAGGAGAGTAGTAGCGTAACTGTCTCTATGATTGGTAGATTATGCAGTTAATGATTTACAGCTTTTCTGACTCGAGACAACGCCTTAACATTATGTACTTATTTTGAAGACGTACATGCGGTAGCCAACTTCAGGCCATTTAAAAGGGATTAGATCTTCATTTAATTTTTTTTATGTTGATTACAACGGGGCAAATGATCATTTTCCGTATTAATTAACGTGAAGGCATATCGGGCTTAGTTCTTAATTGATTTCCCCACATGTCGCTGCTCTTGCTGCCATCAGGTAGAGGCACATTTTATTACGCAGTCAAGTTAAGACTACCACAACTACTTACTACCACTGCTACGTTCAACCTTTTCACATAAACTACGTATGTCGTTGAAATAGCAGTAAACTTTGCGGTAATTGGTTTCTGCTAAGAGGAATGGTTGCACTTTAGGTACACACAAAGGTACGCATACGTATCGATACTGTCTCTTCGGGAGAAGGAATTTATGGAGTTGATTTTATAGAAACCCAGGCACGCAGCTGGAAAGTAATTGAATTAAAGGAAAAATACGAATTTCTTCTTTGGGCATAAACCTGTTGTAAATATATAAAAGTTAATTAGGATCGCCGGAATATTTCTTCTCGAAAATTGGTTGTAAATTTCATTTTTCTTGATGTGACCTAATTTATAGTGCGAAGCTATTTAATTTTAGTGTTTTTATAAAAACTGGAATTCTGTAATGTACTAAGAGCAAAACTTGCAACTCTTATTGAAATGGTGAATTATCAAAATATTAGTAATCTCACATATAAACACCAGAATCAATAAGAACAGAAAATAAATAATTACTTCATTAAAATTTCGTATAAATAAAAAAAAGGAAGTAGAATGGATTATCTCGCACCACTCAGTAAGGTCACTACCCTTACCGAAAGCCCCAACTGCTCCGGCAATGATAACGACGACGCATATTCGCCGCGAATCCCATTGCACCGTCCATATGTGACCACCATGTTCGCATATTCTGCATGTAAATATATTGGTTTTTGCTCGATATTTTCACACACAACTTATTTTTGTATGTTGTGGTAATACTTTGCTAATGAAACGCAAACGAATGCAGATTATTGCTAATCATTACGTACAATTGACTTGTCTACGTATCAGCTATTTGCGAAGGTCACCAATAGGTATGTGTGTTTTATCGAAGGACGATAAGATGATGGGGTAACTGTTCTGTAACATTTTGACAGATCGTTAACTGGGATCCTTTTTGTGCATACTATTTACATTCCCTACGTTGTGATACTATGACGAGATGCATTCTACAATGCCTAACCTTCAAATATTCCGGAATAGTGATCAGACATACTGTACAACCACCTTATTTGGCACAAGTTGAAATGTTATAATATGTAAAATGGAAAGTTTGTTGGTAACTAACCATAAAAATTGTTTTCTGATATGTCTTTGTTATCTATGTGTACATAAATCATTTTATTCTTACCGCATGAATAGTTTGATACTTTCGAACCATTATTCTTGGATTAAGCCAGGTGGAATGGTGTTCAGTCGTCTTTGTAAATTACAAAGCCATCTGCTCTTTTCATTAGCATAAAAGTTACGCCTCGGATTAAAACAACCCCTAAATGTATCATACTTAAATCGTAATTAAATATCCATACGTGTAGGTTATAATTTGCATAAGTGAGTTATAACGTTGGGATGTGTTAATATCGAAATTAGGCAGTAAACGATTAAAGTATGTACGTTTGAAACTCATTTTTTTTAAATAGTAGAGCATCGTTATAATTAATACCATAAAATGCAGTTTAGAAGCCTATTAACATTCTAGTTACCCTCAGATGACGGTCATGATTTCTATTTTCTTATATTTCATTTTTAATGATGATTGTTAGTTACCTTCTTAGGATTTTTTTACAAACAAATATTATTGAATATCGAATTCCAATCGCATAGAATAAGTACGTAATAGCAGAGGAAGCAAAGTTTTTGAACTTTATCGGCACCTACACACTGTATACAAAGGAAGCTTGGTCTGGTCAATAATTTTTATCACTAATTGTTGTTGATTTTATAATTAGCACCGATTAAAAAACGGAAAATCATTATTCTTCTTAAACTGTTAATCATTCCCAAAGTTGGCACAGAAATTTTAAAAAAGTTTGTTCAAAAGTAGAGTATTGCAAAAGTTTATTGGAGTCATACTTATACGTAGCCAATTAGTCAATATGATCAAATAATTATTAAAATTAAGTTTATATTTTATATCGGGTTCCATTCGCTCACTTTGAGAAAATATTGCTCGTGATTTCACGGCAAACACGGCTATTAACATAACTCTTTTGTTCACTTTCGGGACCTTTCTAGAAATATCTGGATAGTTTATTTTTTTCTTTGAACTGTTTAACGGCTTTCCCAGAACGCAGGTAACGACACACACATTTACAAATACGGCGCACATGATAAAAGCATCGATAAGCCGTTCACGCACACGTGTGCCCGATCGCACACAAACACACTCGTGCTCGTTACACTAGGTCACCATTAAAAAGAAAAAAATGGTGTGACTTCAAATAACTTCAAAGTTCGATTTCCAAAATATATAATTTTCGTCTAAAACTTTTTCCAAAATAATAAACACTAATTCTTTTAAGAACTTAAAGACTGAGCAGAGTCCTAGAATAACTGTCTCTATGATTGGTAGATTATGCAGTTAATGATTTACAACTTTTGTGACTCGAGATAACGGCTTAACATTATATGTACTTATTTTGAAGACGTACGTGCGGTAGCCAACTTCAGGCCATTTAAAAGGTATTAGATTTTCATTTAATTTTTTTTATGTTGATTACAACAGGGCAAATGATCATTTTCCCTATTAATTTATTAATTAATTAAGTTTATATTTTATATCGGGTTTCATTCGCTCACTTTGAGAAAATATTGCTCGTGATTTCACGGCAAACACGGCTAATAACATAACAAGGGATTTATTAAGCGTTTTTTTTTTATTATTATACGTCGGCACTAATCTTTTTCTTTTCTAAAGCACCGGTGACGCCCCCCAACAGAGATTCACACCACGAAGCTTCTATATAATCAGATTGAAACGTTCCGTCCGGATGCTCCTGCTGTAACTGATAACTGACAGTTTTATTAATTTCTCATCCGTAACGTTCCCTCTCTTGGTAAAACGGGAGCAGCTTGCGAGGCGGTAAAAAGCAATCAAACACATGCATCAGTTACGATTGCTCTGACAGCTTGTTTGTGCCTGCAACGTCAGTCAAGACACTATACCTTTCAATTTCTCTTCCGTTACATCTTAAAAACTTCTTAATCACTTTTAAAATATGTAAAAAGCTTTATAATAGTTTTGAAAGCACATTTTTATTTGACAATACTTACCAACGTCTCTAATTTTTAATAATTGTAAATAAGTATGTGGCATTATTCTTGAGCGGTAGTGCAAAAAATGTATTTTGTTTCAGATATGGCGTGGATTTGAACGGGGCAAGGAGAAAAAATGCCACGAGAGAAACAACGAGTACTCTTAAAGCATGGCTTAACGAACATAAGAAGAATCCGTACCCTACGAAAGGAGAGAAAATTATGTTGGCCATCATAACGAAAATGACTCTCACGCAGGTGTCTACATGGTTCGCCAATGCCAGAAGGAGACTGAAGAAGGAAAATAAAATGACATGGGAACCGAGAAATCGGGTCGACGATGAAGACAACAATAATGACGAAGACGATAGGAAAAGCACCGATGGTAAAGATATCCCAGGTACAGAATTTTCATTCTTTTTCTTTCTTTACTCATAACACAATCGTTAATAATCTACAGATTCCAAAGATTCAGTGACAGGATCAAGCGAAGATGGAGACAGAACGCCTCATCCCCGCTTAACCGGAGATGGAAGTGAATGGAACGAATCAAGACCGGATAGCGAACCTGGAAGTCCCGAGTGCCTGTACGATCGACCACATCCTGCCTTTTTACCTCCTCGATCATCGGCATCTCCTCCGCAGCTATCGGTCTCTTCCGCCGCTAAACCACGGATTTGGTCCTTGGCTGACATGGCCAGCAAAGAAAACGAATCCACATCTCAATCTACATCCGCAGGATTCTATTCGACAGCGGCCGGAAGGATACTACCGTCTCTTGGAGGAAGACTATCCGCTACGAGAATCGCCAGCAGTCCTTATGCTAGAACCCACGAGCTGTACAAAAGTCTTTACGGGCATCCGACAGCTGCTCAGCAGTTAGCCGCGAGTGGCAGCGGTGCATCTGCGGACGTTTCATTGTTAGAATCCTATTCGCGATCGCTGGGAGCTGGTCAAAGTCCGATCTCCATAACGTCTATAATGGCGAAAACCAAAACGTCTACCCCGAGCTCAACATCACATTTGATACCGTTGGGTCTGACAACGAATTCGTCGAGGATGTCTCCTTTACCGAGTTCCTCGGGTTCCGAAACGCCACTCAAAGCTATTGCGTTAAGCAAGGTTTGACCGCCGATCGTTCTTTAGTTCTAATCTACCTCGGCTTTTTTGTAAATAAGTGTGGACAATAAGAAACTCTCTTCCGTCGTGTAGTGTTTGTACAGTAAATGTGATATTTCTTTCGTTCCTTCAATTCTCTAGGCGATCAGACGCTCGTTTTAGATAGTTTTGTATATATTATAGTTGCGGCGAGTGCGCACGCGCAAGAGTATAAAAAATTGTATCTATTGTATGTAAACAACTGTAGAGAGCAGAAGAACTTTGTTATTATACTTTATTATGTTAAGACCAGTAAAGTTGCAATGTATGTTGAGATTTAATTCTTTATTTTAAATTTTGTCCCTTTGATCCCGAACATATCACCTCGGTTATATAATTCATTGTAAGTTGAACCAAAATGGAACTTTACAATATTCGAAGGTGTGCTAAAAATGCAATAACAATATATAAACCATTATTCATAACATTGGCTTTTATTATTTATTACACATCATCCTACATACACCGAACTATTTTTATGAAGACCGAAGGTATTTCTCTGAAGACTTCAAGATTTGAAAGGAGGTAAGTAAATTTGTTCTTATTTTTATATTGCAATAGCGCAACAAATAACAAGCTTAGTAAATAAGGCAGGTAATTCAATAAATACAATAATGGAATAGGATGAGTTACATCCATCAAGGCCGAGCACTTTTTTAAAATTGCATTTGTTATGCTAACAGTTAGTCGGTCCATTTAACTCATTCAAGACAACTTATTGTGAAGATATTAGTCTTGAACTACTGTCTATTGCCTTCACTACTTTCTAAGAGCAATAACGACAATATTGCCATATGGGTATTTGCATCATCATTTAATTTAGATTTATCTATACTCCTTTTATCTACCTTTTGTAATATGCTCTATTAACCCTTCATGTCCGAGGAAGAAGCACCATCCAATTTATCTCGCCTTTTTCTTATTGGCATTCGTATTCAACATCTACAAAACTTTATCCTAAACGCTTCTAACTTTTTATTTTCTACATTTTTACACTCATGCGGAGCCGTGCGCTGCAAACATCACGTTTAATAAATATTCTTTTTCGATCTTTTTTCGGATTTTATAAACAACGAAAATTAGCTTTCGGTAGGAAGCAATCCATACGGATATTTTATCAGTGTAGGAAATTAACATTTTCGGTTTCAAGCCTTGGAAATGTTAGAAATATGTTAAAATTTAAACTTCCACATAATAAGTTTGAAAGGCGTATTGGTGATTTCAACAAACTTAATGAAAGAATTCGTCGTAGGTTTGGTCCTCGAAAGAACAATCGTACAATATTTAAAGGAGGGCGAGATCGAGAGATGTAATAAAGGATAACGATTAATATTTTCGGGATTATTTCGGTTATCAAAGGCGTGGGCGGAGTTGGTTTGCATGAATTCAAGAATTAAATCAGTGAAAGTCCAGCGGAGAACACGCTGCGAGCAACGTCGGCTGATGTATTGTTTTTCTGCTCGAAATAGTTGTCCACGGTTGGTGGTCCAAGTCGAGATTTGTACCATGGACGTACCTATTGTCGTCGTGCTATTCCGAACTTGACGAGTTGGACCTCACCGATTGCCCATATCCTTCGACTGCAAATATGTATACATAAACGATCGAGACGTTTTCACCAACATGCCTACTACGAATATTTACATTGTTCTTTGCGAAAATCAATTTTTGTTGGAAAAATTCAACACTAATTGGAAAACCAAATTTGTTTGGAAAAATTTTATATACCTAGTAAGACAATTTAATGGTTTTAGCAACAAAAGGTAACGACGAGGAGTAAGGGTGGGATATTCAAATAAATGTTGTTGGACACCAAAAAGCGTCACACGGCTTCCGCAAGTCATTGAAGTTAAGGTTATGTTATGCAAGGTTTGCTACATATAGTGAAATATTTAAAACCACTTCCACTATAGTGGTAGTTTCATGATCCTACTGTTACGAACAATCTCGTTCTGACGATCAATTTGTAAACTCTTCTCAATGCATAGGAATATACACATATTTATGTATGCATCACTATTAATGCAGGATGTTGGCAATAAGGAATCACACAATGACTACAGCAGCGTGGTTATGGGACAACAAAACTGTAAGAAAACAATGACTTATACTGCTAATTGGTCGAATTAGCTCTTGCGTGTATTTTCAAACATGTCTTTATCAAAAACAGTGAATATTCGGTCCTGAAAGCATTTACTTAATTTTCATGTTTTATGGGAAATTCGAAAAAAAACAATGTTAAATGGGTACGAAACTTGGATGGCGGCGGAAAAGAAAAGGTTCGAAATGTGGTGTTACAGGCGACTGATGAGGATACCTTGGATAGAGAAGGTTAGAAATAAAGAGATATTAGAAAGAATAGGAGAACAGAGGACTCTATGGAAGTCAATAATAGACGAGAAAGGTTGGTAGGACATTTTTTCAGGCCTGAAGGACTAGAGACATATTAGAAGTAGGATTAGGAGTTAAAAGGAGTAGAGGTAGACCTAGATTAGACTACTGTTTGCAAATAGTTAAGGATGTGGGATGTTCTAGTTTTAGAGAAATGCGATTAAAAAAGATTACCTCAGGATAGGAAAGAGTGCAGGTGCGTGTCCAACCAGTACTACGACTGACGACCTTATGATGATGATGGGAAACGTGAAAGCTCTAGGTACATTATATAAAAAATACTTGTAGAAATCCAGATTCTTCTTTAACTATTAGGTACCAAGACACAACTTATTGGTTATGTAATGAGTAGGCACTACTATATACGGTCACAGTCACTTACATTTATGTAGTGAATCGCAAAGGTCTATTATAAGACGTGGGTTTATTAAATCGGAAACTTGTTAAGAAACAAGCATCAAGCAAATACTTTACATCATGTTTATGGTTCGTTTTGGTAGTCATGAGAGCGTTCAGTTCTTGCGGATACCACGAATCGGAGTTTCTTCGTTGGCATAGCTTCATCTGTCTTCGACCAGTCGGTCATCTCTCGTTGAAGGTTTCATTCTTGCATTCGCTCATCGACCATCCACCCGCGTCTGCCAACATTTATTATTGCCGATTAATATCTGGCCGCGGTCGTACGTTACAGGTCAACGATGAATGTTTCATGTGTCGAAAAACAATGTCTCGAACGGGGAGTCCGCTGATGATGTTGTCATCGGCTGTCACGAAGGCCAATTTAGCCCCGAGCCCTCCGTCCCTATATGGCCCGGCCATCGTTATAATGAAGATACCAACTTCTTATAACAATCTATATGCCTCGATTTATGGAGTAGCTTTTTTCAATCACGGCGAATAGATGTCGCGACCGAGATGCGACCCCCGCCCGATATACTCGCCGCTAATTGAGAAAAACGTCCGCCAATGGTATTCATAAATTAGCTTTGGACAATACAAAGATACTGTTCCTTTGTTTCAACAGTATCAACGGCCGAAGAATCGGCCTGTATCGTCAGCTTTTATTTGCCCGGTTATAAAATATGAACGTGGCCATTTAACTGTGTCATAAATTTTTAGTCAACTGCCCTTCTTTCCTCATATGAGCATCGGAAAGCACTTGTAACTTGACATTGTTACGATCTGTATTGTTTTTGATACATCTGTTTTACAACGGACAGGAACGCGGCATTTCAAATACGTCATTACAAAAAACAAAGGGAACATTCTGTTTATGCAAGTTTTGTTCATTATAATTGCAACATATGTCTTATTGCTTTCCGGAATGGGATGATTGCTACGACAAAAACAACCTACAATACTGTCATCATACCATTAATGTCTCCTTTGATTTTCAACCGAAGCCATGCCCTCTCTTTGACGGTTAAATCGTATAAGTATTTTGAAACATATTCCATGGGACAATACATACATTAACATAATGTAGTTTATCTCATTGATAGTAAAGGGGGAATAACGGAAAAAAATAATATAGTGTTTCCGTCTGGAAGAAGCTCACCACCGCTCGTATAACCTTTAGACCTAAATTATAAAGTACTGCTTAGAAAAATGAGGTACTGCGCCGTCTGCGTGCAGTCTCTACTGGAATGTCCTGTACAACCACTAAACAAAAAAGTTGAAGATCTGGTGGCGTATTTAGCTGTGAATCAAGTAGTTGGCGGCAGTACGCACCTAATAGTTCAAGTGTGAATGTCTTAAAACTTGTTGCGAAGTGAGCAGCATCATGGAAATGGAATTAAAGAAAAAAGGAAGAACACGAGCCATTCAATGGCACATATCTCACTCGACTAATTGGAGAGCGTTTTCACGGGTGACGCTTTTGTCAAACAACTGCTGCACCGCCAGTTTATTTTACGCTCCGCTCTTATTTTAGCCGCCGTGAAAAAACGCGCGTGGAATGACAAGTCTCTCCTTGCCAACTACAATTATTTTAGCTATTTGCTTTTGACCTAAAAATAAAGCACTTGATATATCTGCGAACGACTAAACATCTGTCTTGTAGTAGGGAACCGGTGGTGAGGCGGCTGGGCGGCGCGCTCGTTCTCCGGCTCTCAGACTGATATCTACACGTGATAACAATTATGTAGGATGTTGGTTACTTTTGTTTAGGCAGCAAAGACATACGTACACACACACACACATGTATTTGTTCGTTCCTACAACCACTCGGCAATACTTACTCTTACAAATGTCGGCGCATTGGTACTTTATAACTTTATATCATGCAACCGATTTGCTGGTTACAAGAATGTGTCAATGCTGTATGGACATGCACACATAAAAATTATTTAATAATAATACTATCGATCGGGAATATTGAACGTTTTTATCTGTTACAGTGAGATTACTACCATCATAGGGTCGTCAATTCTAAGACTGGTTGGACATGCACCTCCACTCTATACTATCCTGAGCTAATCTTCGCATTTCCCTAAAACTGGAACATCCCACATCCTATTTGTGAACAATAATGTAATCTAGATCTACCTGTAGTACTCTTAACTCCTACTTCTTCTAGTAATAGCCCTTCATGCCTGAAAAGGTGTCTTATCAACCTATCTCACTTCCATAGCGATCACAATTGGATGGTGGCCGAGTTTCAAGACCTAACGAATAGAGAGAGAAGATTGAGAATATCGCCTCTTATTAAAAATGGCATTTTATTTTAAATTTGGCTACATTGTCTTTACCAAATGGTTGCCACTTTCTGTGAGGAAAATAATGAACTGAATTATTACGAGACATCAATCAATTTCTTATTAAACTGCTCGGTAAATGTATCTTCGGGGGTGGGGGTAGGTGGGATCGAAAGAGGAGGTCTCCCCCACCACTGTACCATAAAAAGTTAGTGGCGGTCTTACCCCCATAAAAAGTTATGGGGGTTGAAAGTTGATTATTTTGACAATTTTCATACACTATAATTCAAATAAGATTCGATAAAATAATTATCATCAAGCAGGTGGCGGTGGGGGAT